GTTACACTAATGTTAAATCCATCTCTAGCTGCTGCCTCGCTCTCATCCCAAGCATTACAATCTTCCTTCCCCATCTGAAAGGTCAGTGTTTACATTGAAACAACTGCAGGGACAGGCTATAGACACAAGAAAGCCTACATTAGGTTCAGGTGACTATAGTATGCATTTAAAGGATCACTATAGTGTCAGGAAAACAAAGCTTTTTTCCTGACACTATAGTGCCCTCACTCTCAGGGTCCCCCTCCCGTGGCGCTGAAACCCCTTCAGCAGCTTACCTTTATCCAGCGCCGGGCTCCCTCGGCGCTGGTGACCTCTCCTCCCCGTCCGACGTCAGCTCCCTAGTGGAGCGGAATGCGCATGTGCGGCAAGTGCCGCGCGCACATTCAAAGAGTCCATTGGAAAGTATTTCACAATGCTTTACTATGGACGCTCTGCACGATGGATGCGAAATTCGCATCCAGCGTCGCAGATGCGCCTCTAGTGGCTGTCCGGAAGACAGCCACTAGAGGCTGGATTAACCCTGCTATGTAAACATAGCTGTTTCTCTGAAACTGCTTTGTTTGCATCTGAAGGGTTAAAACCTGAGGGACCTGGCACCCAGACCACTTCATTGAGCTGAAGTGGTCTGGGTGACTATAGTGTCCCTTTAAGATCTGTTATTTTTGCAGTTAAAAATAAAGCCTTGTTAGTTTAAACAAAAAAAAAATGTGGATCCTAATTTTTTTTTGCTGGTTTTTAGATTCAAAGCAAATTTGTCAAGCCCTGACATGTAGGTATATTCTGATTTTTATGTCAAAACAAATGTCATAATCATTATATTTGCCACCATTCTTGTTAGGTCTGTGTACAAAGCAGTGCACCCATGACAAGCACTTTAAGTAAAACAATCAAATATATGATTTTGTATACTTTAAATCTCATTTTACCAACCTTAAATATTTGTTGTTCCTTGCATATTTAACATTTTAAAACAAATGGTTTGCTTTTTTATTTTATTTTTAAACAAAATAGGCATTTGCCTACATTATTTGCAAAGTAAAGCTGATTTGAACTAGTATGGAAATAATACTCAAAATAAGGAGTTATTTGTTTTAGAAAAATGTCAAAGCAAATATTAACAAAATGGAACTGCTTTAACAGTTATTGCATGGAACATGCCATTAGGGTATGCAGCCAAATGTTTCATTTATTGATGTGCAGTCATAAGACCCCTTTTTGCTCATTAGACTATCTAAAATTCACCAGGACTTATTATTTCTAATTAAAAAGTTTCATATAAATACAAACTGAAAAGTTTTGCTATAGCAATACAAAACAAGCAATTTAGTTAAATGTAAGAGAACATTGTTGTAAACAAATAATATTTTTCAATGTATATATCTGTATGCATGTTTATCCATGACTGCCTGGATTGCATATCTCTGTCTGTGTGTTAGTGTAACTCTGTGTCTAGGGGAGCTGCTTGCAGTGTCTTGTGTTTATAAGGAGACTGATTGTGGTCTTGATGTGAGTGTTGTGTTTATGGCATGAGGCTTGACCATGTGAGTGTGAAGGTTATATGAAGATGTCTCCAATGACCCCTGCATCTGAGGGGTGGGGGGCTCAGTAGAGCCAGTGCTATAGCAGTATAGCAAGCAGTTGCAAGTATTCCATTTGTAAAGGTTTAAATAGCGTATACATTATTGCAGGGTATGGCTGCATACACTGCCAATCCTGTATACATGATTGGCAGTGTGAAAGGATTAAGGCTCTCTGGGCACTTCTAGCACCTAGTTAGTTGCCAAAATTATATTCCTATGGTTTTAGGTATACTCTAAGTGAGCATGAACTTGGGAGATTTATGCATTATTTAACGTGGTTTTTATAGGCAGAGATGTGCGCGGGATTGTACAAAATGTTTTAGGTGTTCTCACATGAACTGTTTGTCCAGCTGAGGTAAACCACAAAATTTAATGGAACAATGAACCAAAGTGGCAATATTCCCTTCAATCCACCATCCTACCAGCTTAATGGGTGCATTGGCTACAGGATGTAAATAGAACTGGGCAAAAGGTGCATATAATAAAAAGGAAAGGTTAGAATTTGTGATAGATTAGAATAAACTGTAGAGTAATTTGAGTGATATGGAATCAATGGATTTATTTTTTTTTAATCATAAAACTATCTGTACTAGTGATTTAATATTTTTTTTGTCTGCACCTTTTGTACTCCTTATTATATAAGTACACATGCACTTATTTTACTGAGAACTGACTTTTTTTAGTTCACATCTTTGTGTAGAAGAGGGCAATGTATAAATACAATGTTTTTCCAGTTTTCTGCTAAAGGCTGTAGATTTGTGACGTGCAGAAAACACAAATATCTTACTTACATGCATACATCGGTTTACAAAGAGCGAGAGAACACAGTATGTGAAAAGCAGAAACATATGGAACTAACCTAGCCTGGCTTGGCAGACCATTCTTCTAACAAACAGTGGTTTTGTAGCTTGTAGTTAAATCAATCTTGGCAAGACATATGACAAGGGAAATATAGTACAATAAGACAAATTTGTATTTATGGGAGCGAATAGAGAAATGGAACGCTTTCCTCTCACCATTGAAAGGAAACATGCAGTAATGCACAGTCCTTTGGGTCAAACAAACAGTAAAACCTTGATTATTTTGCTTTGCGGTGTTGACATTAAAATTTCAGTGCTCTGACAAACAGAAAAATCCTTTTAGTCCATGTTGCAGCATTGCAATGGGAATTATTTTCAAATATTGCCTTGTTCAGTTAGTTTATGCTGTTATCATGACATGTTCTTCTGTTTATACTCAAAACTAAAGTACAGTGCATCCATTACCTTTTTCTCTTAGTGCTAGGTAACCACATCTCTAAAAAAATTTATTCTTGTAATAAGCAATCATTTCTGTGATTTTTATTTTTTTTGTACAGTGCACACTCTAATCTAGGGTAAAGTGCTAAATGTTGTGGTGCAGTCTATTGTGTTCCATGGAGATGCACATTATTTATCACATTGCCTTTGAGTAACACCTAGTTTTGCCTGGAAAAATATTGTTCTTTAACTTTTTGGTGGCTGTATAATTATGGCTACTTTAGTAATTTATGTTTTACCTATTCTACATTGAAAGCAATCTGTGATAACAATAAAATTGTACTAATGCTTCTCAGAATGTTTTAGGTTACAGGACTGAAATATATGTATTGTTTTTGTTCTCTCCCAGCCATTGACTTAAAGAATGGATCAGGAGATGTTTATCGTGGACAAGCACGTGGACGGGCAGACACTTATTTTGTCCTTTCAGACCAAGATTTCATGGAACTTGTTCTAGGGAATCTTAATCCACAAAAGGTGATTATATATTTGTAGTACAAACGATCCTTGTTACATGTCTTGTGCAATGGTTACTGTTCTGCTTGTCTATAAAAGCAACGGTGGGGGGAATTGGGCAATTTAGGCCAGTCAGGCTGGTATCCATTAGGAAAAGGAATAGATTATATGTCTGAAGAGCTGGTATTGTTTATATACATTCATACAATTTTAAGGACCTAAAAAGCAGAGATTACTGTTACAGGAAATGTTTCTTACCTAGATTTTAACAGAGCTTCTAAGAAATTGTAAATACATGACAGCATTTGAGCATTAAACCTCAAAATATAAATATATATATATATATATATATATATATATATATATTTATATTTTATATACATATATATTTTATATACATACAAGTGTAGGGGCACTCACCCTTTCAATAGATGTGTAGAAAAATGCCTCGGTGCAATCCCACGCTGGATATGTACAACAATTGAAGAAGAGATGCACTCACAGGTCTTGTAAAAAATCACTATTATTTATTTTTAAAACAACATAAATTCGATCGACGTTTCGACCTCTTCAGGTCTTCTTGAGGAAGACCTGAAGAGGTCGAAACGTCGATCGAATTTATGTTGTTTTGATAATAATAGTGATTTTTTACAAGACCTGTGAGTGCATCTCTTCTTCAATTGTTGTGTGTGTGTATATATATATATATATATATATATATATATATATATATATGTGTGTGTGTGTGTGTGTGTGTGTGTGTGTGTGTGTGTGTGTGTGTGTGTGTGTGTGTGTGTGTGTGTGTGTGTGTGTGTGTGTGTGTGTGTGTGTGTGTGTATATATATATATATATATAAAAAGAGATGAACTTGGCACTCACCCTTTAATGCTGGTATTCAAAGAAATATTGCCTGGGTGCAGACATCAGTGTTGTAAATACAAGAATATGCAAATAAGGTGCACTCACAGGTCTTCAAAAGTGCTTAATTTATTTCATATGCAAACTACATGTGCACAATTATTGGAAGATTTTTGTGCACATGCAGGGGCGTACCGAGAGTATTTGGCACCCGGGGCTGATCCTGTGCTTGGCACCCCCCACCCCCAACCCCACCCCACCACACCCCTAAAAAAAAACCTGTAAAAAATGTTAAAGGTTTACTTTAATTAATCCACACTCCTTAATTAAACCATACCCCTTAATTAATCCATACTCCTTAATTAATCCACACACCCTTAATTAATCCACCCCCTTAATTGATACACACACCCTTAATTAATCCACACTAATTAATCCACCCCCTTAATTAATCCACTCCCCCATAATTAATCCACTCCCCCATAATTAATCCACACTAATTAATCCACCCCCCATAATTAATCCCCCTTAATTAATCCACTTAATACACCCCCATAATTAATCCACCCCCCTTAATTAATCCACTACCCATAATTAATTCCCCCTTAATTAATCCTACCCCCTTAATTAACCCACTACCCATAATTAATTCCCCCCTTAATTAATCCACCCCCCATAATTAATACACCCCCCATAATTAATCCACC